CACACAGTTCCATGTAATCGGTTCCCTCTTTCTTACCCATTCTCCCTTTACCCTCCCTGTTTCGCCACTCACACCACTGGTCCTATAGGGCTCCTCCGTCCTGGATTCCCTGTATTTTCAGTTCCTATCTGTACCAGTGTACCTCCTCTGGTCTATCTTCGGCTTTTTTTAATATTGCTGGTGGGCTTTTCTTTCTTCCTCTTTATTTTTATTTTATGATTTCTTTCTTTCCTTTTTGTTTTGTTTCTTATTGTTTCTGCTGTTTCCCGGTTTGTGATGCATAGAGACAATAATGGATGCAATGGTTTATTGGGGATGTGGGGCAGGGGGTGAGGCGAATTGGGGCCCAGATAATGAATGTGGGAATGGGAAGGGTGCACTACAACTGATGATGTATACACAACTCTTCTTTAGAAAAACAACTCAACAATGGAAGTGTATGATATGTGAATTTTATATCAATAAGACTATTTAAAAATTCCACATGCAAGGCCACCATATGTGAGACTCTCACGTAGTTTGGACATGTGATCAGGAGAGAGCAGTCCCTGAGAAGGACACCATGCTTGGTAAAGTAGAGGGGCAGCGACAAAGCGGAGGGCCCGTGGTGAGATGGATGGACACCGTGGCTGCAACCCTGAGCTCCAACAGAGGAACCATGGTGAGGACGGGGCAGGACGGGCAGGGTGTTTCCTTCAATGGTACAGAGTCGCCCTGGGTCAGAACCAACTCGATGGCACCAAACAACCCCTGCAAGCCACGACGCGACACTGTCAAAAGTGACCCAAACCAGTCCTTGCCTCTTAAACGCCTCCCCTGAACGAAAACACAAAGGGCCCCGGAGTTGAAGACGAGTAAGAATTGGTGTTCTGAGAGGGAGCTGTTGCTGAGACGGCGACTTCTCTGGAAGGGAGGGAGGGTGGCTGGGGGAAGATCTCGTCCCCTGACTTGAGTCTGAGGAAAAAGGCTTTGGATAGGCCTCCTCAGAAATGTAACATTTGTCCTTGGCGGTCTGGGGCACAAACTCAGTGTGAATGGAAGGGTGAGGGGGACTCGGTGGAGAGAGCTGGGGCTGCGCTGACAGGAAGGTGGGGGCTGTGCTGGGAGTTCTGCGCAGGTCATGGTTGCTGAGCCAAGAGATGTGTGGCTGCTTCCTGCGGCCCAGCTGTTGGCTGCTGATGAGAAGAACCAGCAGAGGAACATCTCAGGTTCTGTCCCCAACAACTGCTCAAGTGGCAACTAGCCCTTGGCAGAAGGCATTGGAAAGCATAGAGGGTTTTTTTGTTTTGTTTTTGATTTCAGGAACCAGTGGAAATGGAGAAGCCTTACATGTACATAGGTACATGGAGCTGGAAATATAGGGAATACAGGACAGATAAACTCCTTAGGACCAATACCAGGAGGGGAAGGTAGGAAGAGAAAGGGGGAACCGATCACAATAATCTACCTATAACCCCCTCCCAGGGAGAAAGACAACAGAAAAGTGGGTGAAGGGAGACATCAGTTAGTTTAAGACATGAAAGACTAGTAATTTATAAATTATCAATGGTTTATGAGGGTGGAGCATGGAGGAGGGAGGGGAAAAAGGAGGAGCTGAAATCAAGGGCTCAAATAGAAAGAAAATGTTTTGAAAATTATGATGGCAACAAATGTGCTTAACATATTGGATGGATCGATGGACTGTGTTAAGAGTTGTACAACCACCCCCCCAAAATGATTTTCTTAATGCTCGTATTCGAACCATTTAAAAATTGAGGTGCAGAATTTTCTTACATGATTTACATCTTCCAATAGAAGTGTTTCAATGGTGTTTGAAATGATGTTTAAAGAAAGAAAAAAAAACCCTGGAACTGATTAATATACAAAAGAAGGAAACTAAGTAAATATTTTCAATAAAAACCTTTGCAGAAATAGGTGGGATTGAAAGTAAGTATCATGATTTATTTAGTTAAGCCAATATGCTCTTCAATGTATTCAATCATACCTCTCTCAACAAGCATCTATTTTAACTATTTTTAAAAATTAGAGCAGAGTTTTATGTTAGTGAGGACACTAATTTCACATTAGTCTTCATCCATTTGTATGCTCTTTAAATATGGCCTTATAAGGAATCTAACAGTAGCACATGTACATAACTTATAAGTCAATATGCAAATACTGGGTAAGCAAGTTGAACATAATTTTTATGAATGGGGTACAGTTCCCTCTCTGCCCACAAACTAACGACTTGATGAAAACTGATGTGGTGGCCTTTCTGTCTCTATTTGTCCTCTCTGCAACCCATTTTACATGTCGTTAGGTGCCATCGAGTCGGTTCCAACTCATAGTGACCTAGTGCACAACAGAACAAGACATGCATAGTCCTGCCCATCCTCACAATTGTTCATATGTCTGAGCCCATTGATGCAGCCACTGTGTCCATCCATTGTGTCAAGGGACTTCCTCTTTTCTGCTGCCCTGCCACTTTATCAAACATGATGTCGTTCTCCACGGACTAGTCTCTGCTGACAATATACCCAAAGTATATAAGATGAAGTCTTGCCATCCTTGCCTCTAAGGAACACTCTGGCCTTACTTCTTCCAAAACAGACCAGTTTGTCTCTCAGGAGTCCGTGGTAATAGTCTTCTCCAGCACCACAATTCAAATGCACTGATTCTTCTTCTGCCTTCCTTATTCAATGTCCAACTTTCACATATATATGATGCAATGGAGAATACCATGATTTGGATCAGGCATACCTTACTCTCAGAGTAACATCCTTGCTCTTCAATACTCTAAAGAGGTCTTGAGCAACAGATTTACCTAATGCAACACATCTTTTGATCTCTTGACTACTGCTTCCATGAGCATTGATTGTAGATCCAAGAGAAAATCCTTGACAACTTCAAACTTTTCTTCATTTACCATGATGTGACCTATTGATCCAATTGTGAGGATTCAGATCTTCCTTACACTGAGTTGTAATCCATACTGAAGGCTATAGTCCTTGATCTTCATCAGTAAGTTCTTCATTTCCTCCTGATTTTCAGCAAGCAAGGTTGTGTCATTGACATGTCACAGCTTGTATATAATCCAATACAATCCTGATGCTGCACTCTTCTTCATATAAACCAGCTTCTCGGATGATTTGCTCAGCATCTAATTGAACAGGTATGGTGAGAAGATACAAACTTGGTGCACACCTTTCCTGATTTTAAACCATGTAGTATTCCCTTGTTTTGTTCACACATGCAAGTTTCTCATGAGCACCAGGCTATCCACAGTTTAGTATGGTCCACATAGTTGAATGCCTTTACATAGTCAATGAAACACAAGTAAATCTCTTTATGGTGTTCTCTGGTTTGAGTCAAGAATTCATCTGACATCAGCACTAAGGTCCCCTGTTCTACTTCCTCTTCTAAATCTGGCCTGAACTGGCGGTTTCCCGTCAATGTACTGCTATAACTGTTGTTGGATGAGCTTAAGCAATATGTTACTTGTGTGTGATATCAATGATAGCGTTCTATAGCTTGTGCATTCTGTTGGGTCACCCTTGTTTGGAATGGGTACAAATATGCATCTCTTCCAGTCAGTTGGCCAAGTACCTATCTTCCAAATTTCCTGGGATAGATCAATGTATGCCACCAATGCTGCTTCAGTTTGCTGAAGCACATCAATTGCTATTATGTTAATTCTCGGAGCCTTGATTTTGCCTAATGCTTTCAGTGCAGCTTGAACTTCTTCTTTCAGCAACATTGGTTCTTGCTCATATGCTACCCCCTGAAATGGTGAACTGTCAACTAATTTGTTTGGGTACAGTGACGCTGTGTGTTCTTTCCATCTTCTCTTGATGCTTCCTTCATCATTCATTATTTTGCCTATAGAAGCTTTCAAAATTTTCAATTCAAGGTTTGAATTCTTCTTGAGTTTTGTCAGTTTCAGCTATGTTGAGTGAGTTCATCCCTTTTGGTTTTCTAATTCTAGGTCCTTGCATATTTTGTTATAATATTTGACTTTGTCTTTTGAAATTTTCTATTCAGCTCTTGACTTCCTTTCTTCCATTTGCTTTAGCTACTCAATGATTAAGAGCAAGTTTCAGAGTCTCTTCTGATACCGATTTAAAAATCTTTTCTTTCTTTCCTGTCTTTCTTCATGACGGATGGTCTTGACTTCCTCCCAACAGCCCATTAGATCTCCTGTCATGAGTGTTCAGTGCATCAAATCTACTCTTGCAATGTCCTCAAAATTGTGGCCATTTTACATAATGCTTCCATATTAGTGCTCATAAACTATAGCTGTAATATGTCATCACTCTACCTAATTATCTCCAATGGTTTCCCAATGAACAGAGACTAAAGACTTTTAGCCTGACATTCAAGGAGCTACGTGATATCCTCCGATGAACTTTCCCAAAGTACTTGACTTCCTTTGTCCCTTCAGGGCTTAATCAAGCTGAGCTATTTACTGCTCTTCTTGTGCACTCTCTGACTTCCTACTCCCTAACTTTGTCCACTTTCCTTAAAATATTGTGGTTTTGTGTGTGACTCCAATGTAGACTTTATTTTTTAGAGCAGTTTTACAGAGAATTTGTGCAGAAAGTACAGAGGGGTCCCACATTCCCAGTTTCTTTAATATTATTAGCACCCTGCATTTTGTGTTGTACATTTGTTACAATTGAATAACCAATACCCATACATTATTGTTAACTGAAGTTCACAGTTCACAACTGTGAAGCACAGGGTTCACTATTTGAGTTACACAGTCCCATGGATTTTGATAAATACATTATGTCATATGTTCACCACTAAATATCATATAAAAGAGTTTAATTGTCCCCCAAATGCCCTGTGCTGCACCACATCATCCCTTTCCTCTTTTTTAAAAAAAGAAACATTCTAAAATTGATTATGGTGATGATTGCACAACTTCTTAAAATATGATCCACATGGCATATAATTCAATGGTTTAATAATAATTCAATTAGACCATTGAATTATATGATTTGTGAATTATATGTCAATAAAATATTTTTAAAATAAAAGTTTTATTTATTTTAAAACTAAACAATAAAAATACCAATGCAAATATTTTCATGTACAATTCAGAGACATTGGCTACGTTCTTTGAGCTGTGTAGCCATTCCCACTTTTCTTTTCTGAGTTTTCCTACTCCATGAATTCACTCCCCCAGAAGGTTCCTAGCTAATCTTTCTAGTTACTGTTATCAATTAACTTTTTATGGATAATATCAGTAGCATATATCACTCCAGGTTCTCTGAAATAATTATTTTATCTTGTTGTATTTTTTTTCTTTTTAACAGACTCTTTTCTTTTCTCAAAAAAATTAACATTTGGTACAAATTTCACCCAGAATTATACCGAATAACTTTTACCAGTTAAGCATGACCTACTCCTTATACCTTCTGTCTCACCCCTCGCTTATTTTGGCTTTTCTTTCATTCTCTCTGTGTATTATTCTCATTTCTAGTACATTGACCAATTACATTTCCAGTCAGCTTCTTCATTGTCTTTCCATTCTTTTTCCACCAATGCTGATTCCAGGTTCCATCAGTATCACCACACTTTCCCAAATGCCCTCCACTCTCCCTTTGTCTATTCTCTATGGCGAGTAGGCCAGATCTAACCTACTTTCTATTTTGTAAATAGACTTTTACTGCAGCAAAGCCATGCTCACTCATTTAAAAAAGAAAGAAAGAAAGCTTTAAGTGCTCTATAAGCATTAAATAAACTTTAATTCCCCATACCTTATAAGTGATAAAATACCACAAGAGAAGTCTCTGTGCACACACAGAATGACAATAGTTTTACAATGATATTAGAAATCTCAGGATTGGAGTCCAATAGATCATACCTGGTAATAAATTAGAAGGTAAAGACATCCTAAAAGAAAAATGTTTTTAAGTATATATGAGGGTGAACTCCTGAGAAGGAGAATGAGTGAGAGTGTAAAACTTACCATCCTCATCTACTGCTCCTGATGAAAAACCAAACATGTGGAAACATAGGATCACAACACAGAAAAGTGGAAACTCCATCTGTTGGAATAAATAACAATTATTTCCATTCAATTATCCTCAACACACATATTTTTTGTTTCTTCAGCTATAAACACAAAATAGTAAAGAAATAATTTCTTGCTTAAAGTTCAAAATATTTCCCATTATGTGACAACATAATAGTTGACCAAGACTTACAATTACTCCCTAATTGATATTAAAACCCTTCATAAAAATTAGATTACTTAGTTGGACTTCCGGGAAAATGGTGACTGAGTAACACATACCAGATGGACTCCACAGACATCATCCCAGGAGAGTTATTCAGAGGGAAATTCAACACTGCTGGTTTGCAGGAGGAGCATCATGAAGATAAGTAGGCACACTTTTGGCTTATCACAGT